GATTTGGAAAATTTGGTTGTTTTGGTGAAAATTTTACTTTTTCTTGAGTTGAATCTGTCAAACTTGATGAAGTATTCGTGAATTTGCCAACATTTTGAAACTTTTGATTATTTGCAAATTTTTGCAAATTCTCAAATTTTCGATTGTTGCCATATTTGCAACATATGGAATTTTATCAACAAAATTTATTTGTTTATTAAAACTTGAATTGTTTGTTTATTTGCTCTGAAATTTTGATGATTTTGTTTTTGAAATGTGTTTTTTTCATCTCTTGGTTTGTCATTTGACACAACATGCCAGAAAATTGTTTTTCTTGCTTTTCTTTTTGAAACATTATTTTCTGTTGAATAATTTCCAACCATCAATTTGAATTCATGAGAATTTAATTTCACTTCAGCCTTTGATTTTTCAACTTTTTCAAAAATTTTGTTTGGTTCTTCACCTTTAACCACCCATTTTTGTAATGATTTTTGTTTTTGAAACATAAGAATTTTGAGTTAAATTGTTTCTTCTGTGTTTTGATTTGCGAAAAAACCTTTTGTGGTTGACTTTAGATTATCTTTTTCAATCATTTGTTGAATTCAGGATGAACTTTCTCAGCATTTCCAGTATAGTGACAAAAACTTGATTTGGAAAAATGGTTTTATCAGTACATACAAAATTTGGATATACCACAGTGTTGGTTTCCAAATAATGTGCGCCTTTGTCATTTAAAATTTTGTCAAATTATTTTGTATTTTCAAACACTTGATCAACCACAACTCGTTGAGGTATTTCATGTGAATCTTTCATTTCTTCTCTGTTTTCTTCATTATCATCAGATTTCCAGCTTTCAACTTCCACATTATCAAACTTACAATGTTGCGAAGTTGAAGGTTTATCAATTTCATCCTCTACTATCGAATCAACAATAATTTCTTTACCTTTAATCTTAGATGTGATATTAATGATTGACAATTGAGAACAATCAACCTCTTCTTCCTCTTCTATCTCACTGATTTCACTCACATTATCTGAATTTTCATCAATATCAGCATAATTGAATTGAGAGGCAAGAGTTGAAGTTTCTGTTTTCTTTAAGATTTTCACTTGTTCACTCTTTGTCAAACTTTCATTGACAATGTTAACCAACTCATCATCATTCAGAAATTCATCAATTTTAACAATACCATATGTATATCTATCATCAGGTATTTTGTCAAATTGAGCAATTGTACTTTCGCAATCATAAGAAACAACATCAACTTTTTCACGTTCATATTCAAGAAAAGGTAAAAGTTTCCTATGTTGTTCTTTGCTAGTGTCAGAAGAGTGATGTAAACCAGTTAATTTTGCATATAACCGTTTGGCAGAATTACAATATATGTTCCTTTGTGCTAGCAACAACCTAACATCATTTGTAAGATTATTCCTATCACAATCTACATTTTTGATCTGCATTTCAAGTTTTTCTACTCTACTCCTCTTTATTTCTAATTCTCTCCGTGTCTCACCTAGTTGCATATTTAATTTTTGAGATTCAGTACTAGCAGACACAATAACATAATCAAAATAAGCCACAGTTTCATCAAATGAAACAATTTCAGCATCATAAGTAGATAAAGGAATATTAAAAGATTCAAGTATTGCACGTACCTTGGTGGTCATGGGTGATTTGTCCGTGGATTTGGATACGAAGCACCTTCCTGAAATTTCCTCTTCGCAATCTTCAAAACTTGCGAACATTGCTCCATGTGTAGGATGCCTCATTTCCTCGTCATCAGATCCTGAAGACCAGATCTGATACTTACCACTTTTTTCACTATCAGTTTCACCTTTCGCAACCAAAGACACTCCTTTGGTCTTAGCACGTATCTCTTCAATCTTTTCAGAGTAGTATGCTTCATCTTTAACTTTTTCCTTCTTCTCTTCTTTCTTTCGCAACATGCAATCGGCTACAAAATGATTCGCACCATTGCAGTAGTGACAGTAAATTCCTGAGTCACCTTTCAGCTTCTTCACTTCTTTCGCATCTTTTTGTTTCTCATCAGCTTTCTCCAATTTCTTCCTCTCCTCTCCTCCAGTTTTTGTGACTGCATACTACGCATCACTAGCCTTTCCTTTTGGATTAAAAGGCTTTTGGTAAAACTTCTTAACTCTGTTGTTTGAATAGAATGCCACAGCTTCATCATCAGAGTTCATCAAAAATCCTTCATCATATGAACCATCTTTTTCATTAACATCAACTTCTGATATCTTTGAAACAAGAGCCAAAGGACCTCCAATACTTTGTTTTGATTCTTCATACATTTCTGAAACTTCACATTCATGTGTTTTCAGCTGATTGTAGAGATCATTCAAATAAGTTGTATCAAAACTCTGTTGATTCTTAATCATCATGCTCACACTTTGCCATTCCTTGCGAAGACCCATAATGAATGTTAAGTTGAACTCCATGAGAGACCTAGTGATTCCATACCTATTGCAGCGAAACATAAGCTCATTCAGACGATGATAGTAATTTTCAAGAGTTTCAGCATCCTTTTGTCTGAATTCTTTCAGTTCAACTAGACATTGCTTCACAGAATTGACCTTCGTCTTTTCGCTACCTTGATACTTCTCTTTTAGAGTGTTCCAGATTTCATTTGCTGTTTTACAACTACGAATGTAATTATAAACCACAGGAGGAAGAGCACCTCTTAGTTCCCTCATGCACCTCTTTTCATTATTCTTCAACCGTTTTTCTTGATCAGCAACTTCAGTAGATGCAGCAGATGGACCAATTGGTTGAACATTAACAGGAGCTTGCACTGTTCCATCGATACAATTCCAAAGTTCTTCATCAATTCCATTTAAGTAATCTTCCATTCTATCAGCCCACTGATCATAGTATTCTGGAATTAACATCGAAATTTTGGTTGAAGAACCAAGAAAGTGAGAGAAGGAAGTCATTGTATTCATGTTGAAGTTCGCCATTTATGAACACATAAATTTTCAGAAAGCTTGAAAAACTTGATGAAATTGAGAATTTGATCAATTGAATTGATCACAAATCACTGATCGATTACTCGACTAAACAATTCAAACACAGAATCAATTCAAATCTGAATATCAAATGTGTATTTCAAAACCAAAATGCGCGGAAAATTTTGAGTAAAGTTGCAACTCAAAAAGCAAATGATTCTAACACGAAAATCAGATCGATGCAGTTTGAATCCTGCTCTGATACCAATTGTAGTGGTGTTGATTCTGATGGCATATGCGGAATTAGAAAGATCTAGTGAATCATCATGTAAAATTCAAGAACACGTGGAGTAAATAAATCTTTGTAAGCTCTTATTAGATCTAGAAAGATTATACAAATGGGTTTGTATACAATTTCTCTCTCTAGTCTAACACTCCAAAAATGGACTCTTTCATAATGGGAGTCACTCACTTCCTATTTATAGGAAAAGACTCAACCCATTTACACATACAAAGAGGAAAGCATAAAACATTACATCCAATCATGACTTTGCACCCTAACATTCTCCCCCTCAAAGTTAGGATTGGATGTCCGGCTTTAATCTCCAACGAGCTAGCGCGATCAAGACCAAACTCCCCCTCGAAGTAACACCGGTCTTCAAATCCGCAAATGAATATTCGACAAACCCGAGAAGCTTCGAATACCCATCAGCTGGCAGTGTTGGGTTAAAACCCTAAGAACGATTTGATGAACAAAATTCGGAAAATATGAACGAACACACTTATGAAGATATGTCGAATAATGAAACGATTTATTCACGAACATGAGGAATAAATTACCCTATAAGAATAGACTAAAGTAAATCTACTCTACTTAAGAAACCTCATTATGTTTGGCAGCTACATTTTTCCTTACTTTTAACCATAATTATAAATAATACATGACAATATATGGGGAATAAGACAAGTCTTGGGATTTTAACCTACACTTCATCAAGGGGGCCCAGTGCTATAATCCATGGAGTACTTTGAACCCTACATTCTCGCCATCAAAGTATGGAATGGATGACAAGGCTTCAACGTCCAAAACAAGCATCTAGAAAATAAGAAAAGATCTCATGACAAGGAATATCAAAAGCGATCCACGAATCTTGATTCTTCATTCGTCTTCAAAAACAGGTTCTAGGATATATATAAGCCAAGCACTGAAGTAATGTTTTTAAACTTCATTTTCTAATGTAATCCCAAAGATCTTTAAGAAAGCTAATCCCACCATAAAAACTCATTTCGGAATTAAGAAACAAAATCAATTCTTATCTTTGAAGAACTCTCCCTCCAAGTCACAATGATCTTAAAATAAGCTAATGATATAAGCCACCAAAAATTATCATGTAACAACCCAAATTTAAGATTCGTAATGTCACTTGATCGAGAAAACAATAGAAGTCGAAGATATATCAAGGCTTTAGAAGAGCTCAATGAAGAACTTCTATATAAAAGCTACTTCTCCGTAAAAGCTTTAGAAGAGCTCGATGAAGAACTTCTCTATAAAATCTACCTTCATAAAAAAATCTTCAAATTTGAAAAGTCACAATCCAATTTCGAATGGCCATATAAATTCTCCACCTATTTATAATAAAAAAACATGATTATAAAACTTTCAAATGGTCATGAGAGTGATCTTGAATGGATAAACAAATACTATGCTCCCCCGTGACAAAATGACACAAACATTTAAGTTTAAAATCCGAAATAGTCGAAAAAATTTGACGTTATCGCAAAAAAACGACTTTCCGAATCGCCAAGACTTATTAGTATCCATAATTTTCTATTCACGAAAAAAATATGCGCATTAAAAATCCAAATTTGTTCATCAGGCCTTAATTTTGAAAACAATTCTGAATATTGGGCAAAAACTATCATTTGCTGAAAGACAAGGGACTAAAATGGTAATTCGCATCATTATCCTTTAGATTTTTAACCAATTCTGAAAATGAACTAAAATTACCAAGCTGCGAAAGTAACAGGGACCAAAAGTGATACTCTAATTCATCTTCCCCATTTGCCCTTTGATAAACGAACATACAACAACAACGACTCAAATATATTCATAATGTGAAGATCGATTCGGTGATCAAACAAAGATTTCAAACTCCAAACATCCCTTCGTTTTCAAGCATAGGTTTACAATTCTGATTCTGAATCCAAACTACTCCAATTTTTAGTCCATTCGAAATTTTGATTGCGAGTCGGTTCGTTCCAAGTAAACCAATTTCAATACCAATTACGAATCGATGTCAATCCCCAAATCCAAGCAATCCAAACTCCGAACAACTCAACAACGAATAATCGGTTTCGAGCATATGTTCGCTTTTAACTTTTGTGGGAGTTACGAATCTGAGCCCAAATTATCAACTCTAATTCAGAGACTGTTCACAGGTGAGTCCGTTCGCAACATTTTGATTTTGACTTTTATCTAGGACCAAAAATTGTGAACATACAACATTCTGATTAACCCCAACATTCCAAACAAAGGCTTGATTCTGATTGCAAATATATGTTACGATTCCGAGTCCTGCCATATGCTAAAATGAAAGCGAGACAATTTCAACTTGCAAAGGTGGCAAGTTCCGTTTTTCTTTCACTATTCGGATCACACTTGCAACATCGATTCAATTTCATTATTGATTTTGACTTTTCGGTTTGACTATACAAAACAAATTGAAAACCAATTATATTCATCGTTCTTCATTCATTCTATATCGATCGTTTAAAGTTCAAACAATATGTTCAGCAACATGAATCCCAGTTAACATCGAATGGCAATTTTAGACCCATTATCACAATCGATCATACACAGATTACAAGCGATGATTCTTGTTCACAAAAAATCATTGTCAATCGTCAATTGGGTCAAACAAACTACGAGAACAAAGTCGATTAGGCCTAACAAAATCGATTTTAAGATCAAAACTCAAATAGAAATCGAAAGTTAAGAAATCCAACCAAACATAATAATGCTAAATCAACATGAATATGAACGAATGAGGGATTTTGACTTGTGAATTAGGAGGCTGTTGGATCAAATGATGAACAAAAGTCGATAGTAATTGGCTCAAGAAACAATTAGGCCATGATTGGTTGAATATAATAGTGACAAGAAATACCTCAAAGCTCGATGATTTGATATTAGAAGTAGAAAACAAAACAGATCCAAAATCAAATAATGAATAAAAGAAAATAGGATTGAAATTACCATGATGAACAGTAACAAAATACGTAAGTTTCCATGAACAGTAGATCGAACAAAAATCTTCATTCCAAACCCTCAAAACACCAAAAATCTTCAATAACTTGTGCAAATAATCATCAAATCAAGAACTGATACTTCAAAAATAAATAGATCTTCAAAGACCCGCTCTGATACCACTTGTTGGGTGAAAACCCTAAGAACAATTTGATGAACAAAATGCGGAAAATATAAACGAACACAATTATGAAGATATGTCGAACGATGAAACGATTTATTCACGAACGTGGGGAATAAATTACACTATAAGAATAGATTAAAGTAAATCTACTCTACCTAAGAAATCTCATTATGTTTAGTGGCTACATTTTTCCTCACTCTTAACCCTAATTATGAATAATACATGACAATATATAGGGAATAAGACAAGTCTTGGGCTTTCAACCTACATTTCATCAAGGGGGCCCATTGCCATAACCATGGAGTACTTTGAACCCTACAGGCAGTCATAATGGGCCAGTATTATTAGATGACCACATCAGGGAGATCATCCGTAAGGAGGTGGTTGCTATTGTATGGGGTCAGATTTTGGAGATGTTCAGGTCTATCAAGACCGTGATGATGAATGTTCTTTGACGATTTATATACAGTCATTGCCGAGACGGTTTCTGTTGCAGCCTCCGCGTCCGTGGCGGCTGTAGGTGTTGGGACAGGGCGGGTCTTTTAGTATTGGGAGTTCAATAATATGAAACCCCCGACTTTCGATGGAGTCTAGGACCCGATCATATCCATGAGGTGGCTATCTGATGTGGAGGGATGTTTCTTCACTTGTTCATGCTGTGCTGACCAGAAGGTCAGGTGCGTTCTGAACCTTCTGAGGTCTGGAGCAAAGGATTGGTGGAGACTTGTTATGGCATAGTATTTTGCTGAGCAGAGGACTGTGATATCTCGGAATCAGTTCATGGAGATGTTTTTGTACTTGCTACGTTCCTCGGGTCGAGCGAGAAAGGTTGGCTCATGAGTTTTTTGACCCGAGGCATGGATCAGAGTCGGTGACAGAGATTACCCGGATGTTTAGTGATAGGGCTATGTTTTGCATGAGTTTGCTTTAGAGCAGGCTAAGATGACCCGTTATTTGAGCATGCTCAAGACAGACATCAGGCAATTTGTTTCTACTGAGCGGTGTGATACTTTGTTGGAGTTGCAAGAGGCCGCTCGGCGGTGTGAGCTTAAGAAAGAGTTTCAGTTGAGAGAGTAGAGGCAGGCCTCGACATAGTCGAAGTCGGCACCAAAGAGGTTCAAAGTTGTTGATTCTAGGTCTGGAGGTCAATGAGACCGCGCTTGTGGGAAGTGCGGAAAGGTTCATGTCGGAGCATGTCGATCTAGTAGTGTGTGCCACAAATGTGGCAAGGAGGGGAATTATGCGAAGGATTGTCGCTAGTCAGCCCTAGTTCAGAGTATGAGGATTTGCTATCATTGTGATCAGGTTGGCCATGTGAAGGTCAACTATCTGTTGCTCGCCCCAAAGCCGATGCAGGCTCCATCACTAGCTTGGGAGCAATCCTCATGCAAAGAGGATGGGTGATAGCTTATGCTTTGCGGTAGCTGAAGCCACATGAGACGATATATCCCACGCATGATGGCCATAGTGAGTGGACCTTTCAGACTCTCGAGGATATGTTGCGAACATGCGTTATTGATTTTGGTGGGAGCTGGTACTCCTACCTACCTCTTGCAGAGTTCTCCTACAACAACCATTTCTATTCTAGCATTGGTGCTTCGCCTTTTGAGCTCTTGTATGGGCAGAAATGTCGTACCCTAGTTTGTTAGGGGAGGTTGGTCACAGGGTCATGGGTCAGACTGAGGTGGTTCTACAGACTATAGAGATGATCTAACAGATCAGATAGAGATTGCAGACTGCTCAAAGTCAGATAGAAGAGCTATATCGACCAACACCAATATGAGTTGGATTTTCAGGTCGGTGGCATGGTGTTACTAAAGGTATCACCTTGGAAAGGTGTGATTCGCTTCAGGAAGTGGGGAAGTTAGGTCCCTGGCTGATTGGGCCATTCCAAGTTATTGTCATGGTTGGCAAGGTTGCTTATAGATTGGATCTCCCGGAGGAGCTCAACCAGATTCATAACACTTTCCATGTTTCGCAGCTGCGAAAAGTGCGTATTGGACGAGGATGCAGTGGTATCATTGGGTGATATTCAGGTTGATGAGCGCCTGAACTATGTCGAGAGGCTGATAGCTATTCTGGAAAGAAAGGTAAAGGTTTTGTGTAGCAAGGAGATACCTTTGGTAAAGGTACAGTGGCAGCATCAGAGAGGATCTGAGTGGACAAGGGAGCCAGAGGCTAAGATACGTGAGCATTATCTGGATGTGTTCACCGTTACAGGCTTCGAGGATGAAGCCTAGTCCGAGTAGGGTAGATTTGTAACATCTCAATTTCCAGGTATGGGATTTATTCCTTAAAAAGGCAAGTTTTCCTTGGAACTCGTCGAGTTGATGGCCTCAACTCGATGTGTTGAAGGCTTTTGGGTTGCGCATATTTTTGGACCAACTCAAGGAGTTGGTGAGGAAAACTCGACGAGTTGGAAGATGGTCGAGAAACCCTAAATTTTAGGGTTTGCACCCTATATAACCTCCTTAAGTTCTTGAGGTTAATCTTTTATCAGCCTCCAAACCCTAGTATCGGCTTTATGAGCCCTAATCTTCATTCCATCTCATAGTGTGAGTTAGTGTGGCATTTTGGAGCACAAGAAGGAGAAGATTGAGAGAAGGAGGCAAGGATCTAGCAAGCTAAGCCCTCATCTTCAGTTTGGCACTCTTTTAGACCATTGTAAGCATTTAAAATCTGATTTTTATTTATCGATGTGGCTAGATGGTGAGTTTTGTCAAATTTTCTCCTTATTCTTGGATGTTGCAATGGATGGACTTCATCAAGTTTGCAACTTTATGAATCTCTAGGTCAAGATGACCTTAGAGTGGGTTAGATCTGGTCTTTAGTCAAGCTTTGATGCCATGCATGGAGTTTAGGTAATATTTCTCACTTTTGACCAATTTTTTGTTCAAGACATGGAAAAAACTCGGCGAGTTGTCCAACCAACTCGGCGAGTTGGCTAGGGTTTTCCCTGACTTTCTGAGTACTGTAGAACTCGACGAGTTCAAGAGGTACACTCGACGAGTTGGATCAACATGGACTGTTGACCTTGGCCGTTGACTTTGACTTTAACCATGGTTACCAGGTTTGACTTTTGAGGGCATTTTGGGTTTTTTTTTGGGGTTTTAATGGTCGGGGCGTGATGGTTGCAGACATTGATTTGGGAGCTGAGATTCAGAGTCAGAATTTATCAGTTCTGCACTACTTGTGAGTTGAGTTTTCTTCATTTTAGTTACGGGTCGAAGATACCAAGGCCGACCCTTTGGATTGTTATCCTGCTTATTGTATGATTGAGTACTGTAGTGATCGGTTAGCGGCCCGGATGAACTGAAGGCTTGCGAGGCGGACCATTCAAGCCGAAGGCCCGAAGAATGGTCTAGACATGCTGAAGGTTATGTACGTGTGCTGTTGCGTAATTGTAATGATTATGTATTGTGGTGGTATTTTAGGGAATACTCACTAAGCTTTGGACTTACAGTTTTTTATTATATTTCAAGTACCTCAGATGATGGTTTGTGGTTATTTCAAAAGTTTAAAATTTTCAAGATTTTTTCGAATGTTACAAGTTTTGTAAGATCCCCCTCTGGCACGTATCATAATATTGTCCGCTTTAGGCTCCCGATACGAAAACATCCCAGGGGGACACCCATCCATGGATTGCTCTCGCCCGGACACGCTTAACTGCAAAATTCTTATGAGATCTGTTGCCCCCACGGCTTTAAAGCGCGTTGTGATGGAGAAGGTATCAACACCCCTTATAAGGATTGCTTAGTTCTCTTTCCTAGCCGATGTGAGATCATGTGCAACCCACCTTCACCCCCAATTATAGGGTTCGACGTCACCGTCGAACACATCGACCCGTACCCTAGCTCAAAAGAGGTGAAATTGGAAGGGGTGAATCGGGTCATGGGTTTGGAGGAGAAACGATAAATCAGGTCAAAAGAGGTGGGGGGTTTTCAAAGTCAAAGTCTATGTGGCAAAGTGGTAACCGATTGACCCCTTTAATTCTTACAAATGACCAAATTGACCCGATAAAAAATAATTTGTTCCTTTAAAAGACACGAAAAAAATTTAGGGACTGAAAGAGTAAATTCAAAAAACATAATATGATCGTTATGTTTTTTTCCTATTATTTTATGTAAACTGCTTAAAAATAGACTGATTTTGTCTTTTATTTTATAAATAAAATATAAAGATTATTAAAAGTTTCTTATAGAAGACAAATTAGTAACTTTATATACATATTTGACGGCTTTTAACGGCGTCAATGTGAAGCACTTAACTTAAAAAGTCATAATCAGAAGGATTATAAAAGCAAAAATATCATTCAGGACACTCACGATGATTTTCATATACGCACAACACAATTACTGTTGTTTATATTTGTGAGGGTGAAAACTGCAAAGTTTTCGATTTTATGTTCCGAGGGCACAAATTGTTACTGTTTATATTTCACAGGGTAAAAATGTAAATTGTAGAAACGACGGCCGATTTTAATAATTGGAGTATTTCCTCATATAGGCATTTCAGCTTTTCATTCTAAAAATGATTTCCCTCCCCCTTTTCTTCCCTCCACACGCCGGCCCGCCGCGAAACCTCTAAAATTCGGCTACCCAGCAGCGGTGCGCCATCTGCTTCCTGCTTCTGATTTGATACGCATTTTATAAATTCTTATACAGACAATTTTGTTGGCAAATCTGTTCTTCAGTGCCGAAGATATTTAAGTAGTACTTCGAAATTTCAGTTTACAGCTCCACTGTAAGTCTTCTTCTAATCTTATTTGATCGATTTTTGTTAATTCGTTAATTCGAAATGATGTTTTTGGTTTACTTGAGTACTATAATCTATTCTTTTACTTTGGATTTTGATGCATTGCGAACTTACTGTTTTACAATATTGTAAGCTTAATTTTTTACCATGGAAGTTCGTGACTAATATTCGTAACTTTTAGATGTTACCTAAATTATAAATTCCCAATTTTGTCGTTACGTTACTCAAATCATATTCATTTTGAAATACCCACGGACAAGAATTTGTAATTGTAATTTGGGGTTTTTTTGATTCGTGCCAATTTAATCTCTTTTCATGCGCAAGTGAAGCAATAATGGTTTATGATCAGATTGTTTGTCGCTTAGTCTACGCAGTCAGACCCTTTTGAAACTTTACCGATTCTAATATCACCTTCCTTTTTTTAGATCCTTCGATGTTCAAGATTGCTTTGATAATACTAAATGTAAAAGATCATCCTCATTCGGACCTGGTATGGTTCTTTTTCCGTTAAATTTGTTAGTTCTCGAGTATTACATAATAGGAAAATGTCGCAAAGAAAACAAGGAAAGTTTTTCATATCTTGTAACTTTCATACCACGTAATATACCTGTATTTGCTCTTCCGCAGGTGGGATTTTAACAATGGATCTAATATTTCATCACTCTGGGTCTACACCATCTGATGAATCCGCCTTGGATTTAGAACGAGTTTACTGTGAGCACCACCACATGAATCTCGCTTCACCAAGTCCACCTTTACAATCTTTCGCCACTACATCAGCTGGTCAACTCTCTGAAACCAATGCTGCATACTTCTCATGGCCTACTTCCAGCCGATTAAACGACGCCGCTGAAGACAGAGCTAATTACTTTGGAAATCTTTTAAAGGGAGTTTTGCCTGAAACTCTTGGTCGATTGCCAACTGGACAACGAGCTGCTACATTGCTTGAACTTATGACAATCAGGGCTTTTCATAGCAAAATCTTGCGCAGATGTAGCCTTGGAACTGCAATTGGGTTCCGTATTAGGCGTGGATTACTCACAGATATTCCTGCTATTCTTGTGTTTGTAGCTCGCAAGGTTCACAGACAGTGGCTCAGCCACATCCAGTGTCTACCCTCTGCTCTTGAGGTTAAGTTTCTACTATCTATAATCATATTGACAAAAAAGTGATGAGTTTATATCAACTTTTCCCACATGGATAGATATAAGTTTCTAGTATCTATAATCATATTTTGATTTGAATAGTTGGAAATGTTATAGATTTACTAATTAATAAGCTGAACAGGGACCTGGAGGTGTGTGGTGTGATGTTGATGTTGTTGAATTCTCTTATTATGGAGCACCAGCAGCAACTCCAAAAGAACAGTTGTATTCAGAGCTTGTGGATGGTTTGCGTGGAAGTGATCCCTGTATAGGCTCGGGTTCCCAGGTAGTTTCTTTGAATAAATTAGTGGAAATGAATAATGAATAATGAATAATGAATAATGAATAGTAAGTTGTCAGATTGCACTAAATTTGGTGTAGTCCTGTTCATTAAAACAGGACTTTCTTTACATGTTTTACTTTTAAGTTTTAACCCTTTTGCTTAATCAACTTTTATTGTCTACTCTACAGATATCATATTTTGATTAGTCAATATATAAAATAAGAAGTGAAAATAGATTAACTAACATAAAGACATAACATATGTCGTTGTCAAATCATTGAGACCTTTAAAGTGAGCCAAATATGGTATATGATATTTAGTTTAAGTCTTACATTCATTAATGATTGTTATAAACAAGCTTTCTTGTTATTAAATTTGTTTACGGAACTAAAAAAGTAAATATATAACACAGGATATGTTATCGTAAATTATAATAATCTAAAAAGTTGATTATAAATATTATATATACCAAACTTAAGCTACAACAAATTTTTAAAAAACATAAATCACAGCAAAATTAATTGCAACACCGATTAAGAATATATTGTCATAGTTGTTCTATGATTATATATATATATATATATATATATATATATATATATTGCAATAATGTTTACGATATATGTTAAATATTATTAATTTTATTGTAATCAAATTTTGCATAGTGATAACGCAAAGCATATGTTCTTATGGACTTTCAAAAGATTGTCTGAAAATGGAATATTTGTCTGAATCCTCATGTGCCTATGCACCCTAGCAGCATGACATTGCTGTATTGGAGAAAAAGAATCATATGCTCAAAATTCACAATGTTCTCCATCTAAATTTTATTTAACACTTTAATTTTTAATAAATAAAGGTTGTTCAACTCTGATAAATAAGAAGGTGTACTAATTGTTGGTTGTTTAGGTTGCAAGCCAAGAGATGTATGGAACCTTGGGTGCCATTGTTAAGAGTAGAACCGGAAATCGACAGGTGGGTTTCCTGACAAATCGACATGTGGCAGTTGACTTGGATTATCCAAATCAAAAAATGTTCCATCCTTTGCCACCTAGTCTTGGACCTGGTGTTTACCTTGGGGCTGTTGAGAGGGCTACTTCATTCATCACTGATGACCTTTGGTATGGAATATTTGCTGGGACAAACCCAGGTAATATTATTATTTATTTATTTTTTTTAATGCGTGAAATATAGCACCATACTTTCATTTCTTGATGTCACAAGATTCTACTTTTGAAAAAATTACCTAATTATAGATATCATTGTCATCCAGATACAATGCAATTAGATTTTGCTTTTTCAAAGTAGAATGTCCTAATATGAAAAAAATTGGAACTACGATGCTAATGGTAGATTTCTTTAAAGTAAAATACATTGTTGAGATTTTTTTTTTTGGTATAATAGAAAGACATGAAAGTAAGATGCTATAATGGGAGATTTTTCAAAGAAAAAAATGGAAGGACAATGGTGTAATCGTGTACATTTGAAAACACTAATTTGTAATAGAAAGAAATGAAAGTAGGATGCTATTATAAAGAAATAAATGAAAATACATTACTTTCATTATTCCTGTTACAACATTGCACTTTGAAAACTCAATCCAATTATAGAAATTATTCAAATACGAAGCGATTTTCAAAGTATATTGTCCTAATAAGAACAAGAAAATCGAAGTTATAATCTTTTAATAGAAAGAAATGAAAGTACGTTGCTATAATACATCCTCATTTATTGCAGAAACCTTTGTACGAGCTGACGGGGCTTTCATCGCGTTTGCCGAAGACTTAAACATATCAAACGTGACAACATCAGTGAAAGGAATCGGTGAAATCGGTGGTGTTAAAGTCATAGACTTGCAGTCTCCAATCAACAGTATAATTGGAAAACAAGTGGCTAAAGTTGGGAGAAGTTCAGGGTTAACAACAGGGACAATAATGGCGTATGCATTGGAATACAACGATGAAAAAGGAATTTGTTTTTTTACAGATTTCTTGGTTGTGGGTGAGAACCAACAAACGTTTGATCTTGAAGGTGATAGCGGAAGTCTCATTCTTTTAACAGGACAAGACGGGGAAAAACCGCGGCCTATTGGAATTATTTGGGGTGGGACCGCCAATCGTGGTCGTTTAAAATTAAAAGTAGGCCAGCCACCCGAGAATTGGACAAGTGGCGTTGATCTTGGCCGCCTTCTTGATCTTTTGGAACTTGATCTTATCACATCCAATCAAAGTCTTCAAGGTATGTAATGTATGCAAGCATGTTACAATTCTAGGGTTATTTTCAATGATGAGGGAGAGCATTTACGTTTTTTTTTGTTGGACAATACGTATATGACCGTCTGTCAGTCCTACATAATAAACATGCCTTTACGCAGCGTTTGTCATACAATACAGGACTGGACAAGCTTTCTGGTGTTACTTTGACATCGGTCCCTATCAGAGTCTAATGCATGTCAAACACAGTACAACCTGTTGTTCTGATATGAAGATAGGACAAGACTAATTGTAGATGGTTTAGAGAGGTAACTAAATCATTGTTATTTTACCTTGTAAAAAAGCTGCATTACAAGATGAAAGAAATGCATCGGCAGTAGGGATTGATTCGACTGTAGGAGAATCATCTGCTCCTGAACATGAACAGACATCACCAAAAGAGAAGTATGAGCCGCTTGGGATAGATATAATAAATCTCCAGGAACCTCCAAAAGGAGATGAAGGTGGCACAGTGGAACATCAGTTTATATCAAGTTTTTCAGAAACATCTCCATCTCCTCGCAAATATCACACTTTTTCTCCACATGAAGAAATTTCTGTCAGCCTACACTTGGGTGAACCCGAACCCAAGAGACAAAAGCAATCTGACAAATGAACAACTTTTCATTTTCAGCTTTGTATTGCAATTATTATTGGTTTCCGATTCATATTTTCATAATTTGGATGCTAAAAATGTTATTATAGAAATGCTTGGTGTCATCGTTTTTGTGTACTTCTGTTGTATGTAACCACTCTTGAAAGAGTACCAACTATTAGGCCGCTTTTGTTCAAAAAACAATATCTACTCGGAGTCATGACAATGAAAAATTGTTATTTTTTGTTATTCCTGTGGATTCATCCCTAGAAAAAGACGTGAACGATCTTTTCATCCTTATTATTGAAAGTATTCTAAACAAACCTTTGTTGGTGATTTTATTGTAAACAAAATGTTTTGGGTAAATGAATTTTACAGACACAAGAGCCTCTTGAAGCGACCATGAGGGAACATTAATTGCTAGTGCTGAATCATTAAGATCAGTAGATAGTGATGTGCTTCCGTAGCTATGTCTGAATATGTATAGCTATTAATGCAGCCGGTTATTTGGATGTAGGAATTTAGCAAAGACTTCAAGTTTGTATGTAAAATCGAGGTTGATTCACCCATTCGGATTATCCTTGAGCTAATTTTGTCATACCGAGACATATTGGGCTGGAATACAGTTCTAGGAAAGTGTAACAAAATCCTCTTGAAATTGAAGTTATTGATCATCACATATATTTTTACAGCCTTATTTATAACTTGTTTAGTCGTGTCCCATGTAATAATTAATAAACATGACCATATTGATAATCATATTATTGATAACCATGTTGATAACATTGACAATCTAATATTAATACTTGATATTAGTTTCCGACAGGTTGTTTTTTATAATTTCTATTGTTAATCGACACACTTTGGGAGGTGTTGACCACCAATACCAAAGGTGTAATGTTTGTGTTTTAACGAGATAAATATGGAAGACGTTTATTTCTCGAGAATTATTGATTTTAAGCTTTGATGGAATGTTGATATGAAATGAAACTCATGTAAATTACATATGATCGCAAGATGACAAAAGCAATATGAAATTTTTGTGAAAGGTCTACGTATATTGATGGATATTCATGGACACAATCCATCAAAAAATGGATATCATAATCGAATTATTTGATAGTAGATAAAAAATGGTTATTATTAATATTATTATTATTTTAATCTTACGTATTTCGAGTTTAAATTGAGTTTTTCTTTTTTACCAAGAAACCAAAAAAAATTTATTTTGCCCAATTATCTGATTTCCTGGTATTCTGATTTCCTGGTATGGTACTACAACTTCCTTTTGGTGCACCAAACGTCCGAAATTGGATCTTTCTATTATTTTTTGTCCCTATCAACATAAAAAGACTATTATACCCTTATATTTGATTTTTAATTTTGTTTTTATATTTAATCAAATGTTTTTCATTAATTAAAATTGAGAAAAGGCCTCTCTCTCTCTCTCTCTCTCTCCTCTCTCTCTCTCTCTCTCTCTCTCTCTCTCTCTCTCTCTCTCTCTCTCTCAAGTTCTTGTGAAAGTCAACTTGCTAGATCAAGAAAACCTACTGAATTCTTTTCTTCCTGGTCCATTGTGGTTTACACAAAAAGGTGAAGCATTTGTCTTTGTCTCTTTCTTTTGAACACCACCATCTACTGCCATTAAAATCCGTCAAGCAAGCCTCAAAACACCACATCTACTGCCTTCCTCCGGTTTTAGGAGCTTGCCACCAAAAACCATCAAGAATCGTCGCTGCCTCCATCAATAACCACCACCGGTGACCTTAAATAAGGACGATGCAACAGAAGGTTGCCGGAGCAATCCCCTGCCACTGGAGCTCTTTCCTCCACCAACAAATATCGTCGTCACCACTACTTCTTCCCTCCGCCGTACCCAACTCCGTTCGCCTCCATCCTCATCAAGCTCGTCGGAACAGGAAGTGGAAGCAGCGAAGCTGCCATCCTGCCCACTGTCGCTGCTACTGTGGAGCTCCAACACCACCGCCGCCGCCTGCTGCTGTTGCCATCGACCGTCTCCGAACAACCACCATCCATGCCGTCATAGTAAGCTCCATCCGCACCCCTCAGTTTTCAAACCAATAACATTCCATGTTCGATAGGCCAATTGAAATCAAGAGACCATGGGTCTCGTCTGTAAAGCACGACTGGTAACGGAAAGAAGACGATTTGTTCTTCTTCTTCTTCGCCGTCTTAAGATCCCCTTCTTTAATTCCATCATCATCAACTTCATTTTGCACAAACACCACATCAGAAACCCTAATTTCATCATCATCGTCATTATGTTCTTCTTCTTCGTCGTCTTCTTTATCTTCCTTCGTATCCAACACCGACTCTGCAAAGCTCGAGAACCCTAAATTCCTCGATTCGATCCTCGCAACACCACCTCGTATTTTCTTTGTATCATCGACGACGAACAGATCCGACAGAGTTGCTCCGTAGCAACCCTAATTTAATCAGCAGCATCAGGCTTTTTATTTTTAAAAACAAAATTTAACCAACGACTCAAACTTAAATCCAAAAACAAAATCCCGGATGCAAAGGTTAGGAAAGTATATTTCATCCAAAACATGAGGGAATTAAATTTCTTTTCAAGTATAAATGTTGATGAGTACCATTTTATCCTTTTTATTTTTAACACTACATAAGAAACCCCTTCGCCACCACACATCAACGCCACCACCACCCATCACCTTCGCCGCCACGACCTACCAACTACCTCCCACCACTATCACTACCTCCACCAACAAACCACCACCTACAATGACCTCCATTGCCACTGCCATTACCACCGCCCATCGACATTACTAGCACCATCATCCATCATCGCTACCCACCACCATCGCCTCAAACGCCACCACCAATACCCACCATCACTACAACCCACCACCTTAACCAATATTGCCTCCACCCACCATTACCGCCCCAATCACCCATCATCATCATCATCTTGGCCACCACCACCATCACCATCACCACCACCACCCACCACCCACCACCAACCTAGCCACCAACCATCACCTCCAATACCACCAACGCCACCATCACCATCGCCGCCACCACCGATGCCGTTACCACCACTCTGCCACCACCGTTACCGCCATCACCACCCAATACTATGACCACTACCATTTACTATATTTATAATTTGTATGATATAAGTAATAAACAATGTAAATTTAAGTAAAATACAAGAAGGAATTTGATGTAGTTGTTGCTTTAAGGCTCCAAACATATTTTTTCGCTTGTTTTTTTTATAGGAATTCTCATGTTTGCAAACATGTACCAAGGTGGATTTTGATGAATAATTTTTGGAAGTTATGTCTAGTGGTCATACTGTCTATGAAGGGAGTTAAGTGTTTGGTGCTTTTGTAGTTTACCATAATAAAAAGTGAATTGCTATTAAAGTTTGATCCTCATATGTCACTCTCTGTTTTGTCGAAGGGATATCTTTGAGGTCGATTTTTTCAACTGTCCCTGGTTCCTTTATTGTCTAATACCCACAGTACCTCTCGGTGTGTATAGTATTTGTTTAACTTTGTATGTGTGTTTGTTTGTATATTTAACAACCAAATTCTAAAAATAAAGAACATAAAAATCAAGTTTTTGGCTTTGATTTGGAGGGAAACAAAGTTTCGCCTACAACAAGTATCATTAGAGACTTTTTAATATCCTTACTTGCTTGCATCCTCACTTAGTGGGTGTTCGACAAAGTATTTAGACTAAATTAGGTCATTGAATAGTTAGAGTCGGCTAACTGTAATTGTGTACTCTATTTATATCTCTTGTAGCCTATACCATAAAGATATACAATACACATTTTACCAAGTTAGACTTGGTATCGGAGCCAGCCGACCTTCTGTGAGAGTAGACAAACCATAGTGTCACATCTTCTTATTTTATCATGTTTGATTCATTATCTTACCATGTCAATTTAATCCTTCAAAATAGCAGGAAAAACTCTTGCATAACTCACATATATTTGCCTTCACCCTATCTCCACCAAATTACAGTTTCTAGAAAATAATGGCCCAACCGTTTCTTATCACAAACAAAATTTTCCAATACATTGATGGCACTCTTCCATGTCCATCCCAAACCCTAATATTCGTGTCCACCAATGCATAACCTAAAGCCCAACCGAATCCAAACTGTGATATCTGGATCTTGAACGATGAACACGTTCGAATGTTGATTATCTTAACGATCTCTGAATCCTCTTTTCCACATGCTTTAGGCAATACTTCTAGAGATCTATGGCTCTCCCTCGTACACATGTATGCTCCTCAATAGACCTCCTAGGAATACACCCTCAAGGCGCAACTACTCAAGATAGCGACGCAACCCAAATAATCTATTTCAGCTTATCTTTCCAGAGAAAAATAATACGATGAAGCTCTCACGAACATCATAGAACCAGTAAACTAAAAAGACCCTACTATGTTTGTTGTTTCCAGCCTTTGTGATGAATAAGATGGTCTGAAGTCTAACCTTCTCGCCTAAGAACATCCATTGCCTTCGTCAAGCTTCAGGGCCTCTAATCCGATCATAACTATATGATCTGGAATTTTCCACTTGTTGTCGCTCTAATTTAAGCCTTTATTGCTGCAACTAATCGACTCTCTTCCACAACATCCGAAACTGAAGCCTATACAATCCAAGCCATACAAAAATTGGTATCTCAACTTGGCTTACAACTACAACCTGTTAATCAACCCACTCAAGCCTTTTACTCCTCTCATTCCCAAAATTCCTGTGGACGTAGTCACAGTCGTGGATGAGGCTGAAACAATCAACAAATTGGAGAAATAGAAACCAACAGTTCAACTAGGCAACAAATCAGAACACTATTTATGGAACTTGCAACGGATGTGACATTGGTCATGTACATTCTCAATGCCCTAACTGTGATCATGCTTCCATCAAAAGACCACCTCAGCAACCATATGCCAATTTCACAGACATTAGATCCTAAAAATGTATTCATGGGTTCCTGACATTTGGTCAAACAACCATTTCACACAAGACACGTCGACCTTCGAACACCATGAACCTTACTATAGTGATGATTTCCTCCACATTGGCAATTGTAAGATCTTACCTACCCTTTATGTCGATTCTACTTGTTTTTATTTGCCCTCTAAAACCTTTTATCTCACAAATATTCTTCACATTCCCAAAAAAAATTATTCGTTCGGTTAAACATTTTTGTCAAGATAATCATGATTTCTTTGAAATCAGTCTTCCTTTTTTGCTGTTAAGGACAATTCTAAATGCACAAACCTCCTCAGCAGTCCATGTAACAACAGGCTCTACTCCATGTTTTTCCTTCAACTTTGCAGTCTTCTGAAAGTTGCTTTTACAACTATTCATGTTTCTCCAGACATTTGTCACCAAAGACTTGCACATCTACACTCCCAACTTTTAAATAATATGCTTTCTATATTTAGTCTTCCAATTTGGAATAAACATTCATTTTCTTTTTGTAATTCCTATAATATTGGCAAGTCATCCAAACTACACTTGTCTTCTTCACATTTTAAGAGTAATCGTTTTTTGGATTTAATTGTTTGTCATGTTAGTTGAATCTATATTTCCAATAATCATTATTGAGGGATATTGCTAATAATATATGATCCTATAGGGTCACACCTTTATCAAGTTGGCATATTTCGTATATTTATTATTAATATGATTATTAATAAATAATATCAATACTTGTATTTAAGTTAGGGAATAATTATTGTTTTGTGAAAATAATAATTAAAAGAGAGTATAACTATTTATTATATCATAGAGTATGATTTAATAAGTCATGTACAAAATTTTGGACGTTTTGGTTAGCCATGATTAAGTTAATGAGTTTATATACCATGGTTAGTAAACTAGCAAACACATTTTGTCTTATTCTACCATGCTTGGCTGAATTTTATATATAAAGAAGAGAAGTTTCTTGTCAACCTTCTTCTTATGCCCCCATGCTCCTAAAGGCTTCTAATACTTTAGAGTATTTTAATGTAAAACACTTACCTTGCATGGATATATAAGAGAGACACTTTGCCTGAAACGAGCTAATTTTTTGGTCCTTACTCATCTCACAAAAGCCATAGCTTTTGGCTTCTATAATCCTCTCATCTTTTGAAGTTAAGTGTGAAGAATAAAAGCTTTAATTTTTGTCTTCTTTTGGCGCTTAACTTTTTAAGCACTTAAAAGTAATACAAGTGCCTTTAATATTGATGGTTGATACTTGTATAGAAAATCATACACTTTGATTTTTCTATCTTCATCATCACTCTAAAACCAAGTGGATTCAAAGGCTCCAAATGTTTTCATTCTAAAACACTCTGTGTTTGTTTTTAATATCATTCTCACCTCTATAAATGGATCCTAGATGGTTTGGTTTTGTTATAAACTTGAAAATAAACTTGTTATTTTTAAGACTTCTTTTGCTGGTTTCTATGAAAAACTAACTTATATTTTATCAAAACCCATTGCTGATATCAGAGACATCTTTTATATGTTAGGATGATTTTTTTTTTATGTTTGATAATCTTTGGTTTTTGGAATACAAGAATGGATTTCTTTTGGTTAATAAATATCCATATTTGTCTTCTTTGACAACTACTTGGTTAAAACTATTTATTTTTATATATAAAAATTTTTCCTTGCATTTTGGTTATATAAAAGTTGCCCTAGGAAAAACAAAGAGTTGCTTGTTATTATATTTGATATGTTGCTGTGTATAAACAAGCCATTTGGATATTTGTGTTGTGTTTGGTTGATATTTATTTATTCGTAAGATGTAATATATAAATAGTTTTTTTTTTCTCATTTGTTGATTTGTTGTAATAAAATTGTTAGACTAGTAGTATTTATTTTAAATGTAACAAGATCAAGAGATGCCCTTTTTGAAGATGACTTAACCACTTGAGACCATAATCCCAACCATGAGCTCCAACTCTTGGTTTTGGGCTTAGTTATAGTCTTAATGGTTTAAGTGTTACAACCTATAACATGAACACTTGAAGTTCTTTTTGCAAGCAAGAGTTGACTTGGCAAGTAGGAGTTTGAATACCTTTTTAAGTGTCTCTTAATTTCTTTAGGAAAGACTTAGTAATTCTTGTGATGACTCACAAAATTATTACTAGAAATAGCTTGGTTTATACACATTTTATTGCATGCATGATTATTTTATGTTGTTGTAAGTTGACTTTTTATGTATTAAAATAGTTTTTACATGTTAAATTATATTTGAACATAAAATAATATCACTTGGAGTTTGAGTGAAAAATATTTAAAAGGTAACATAAGATATTTATAAATGATTTTACCGGTTACCGGTTAAAAATCGATTTTTTGTTGAAAGTAATTTTATTGTCAAAATTATACATAGCCAAATTTAAAATATTTAAAATGGTTTAAAAGATGTTTAAACATTATATAAACTCAATGTCTTTATAATAAATAAGGAATTTTTATTAGAAAGACTAAAATCGGTTTATAGAGTTATAACGACAAATAATAAAACTAGTGATTATTTTTACGTCAAAACTTAATGATATTAATGTTTTGAACACAAAGCGACATGTTGATATTATGTTTTATGTCATGAGATTTAAAACACAAGTATCATCACCCACCTTTTGGTTTATCTAAACATGACTTTTATCATAAGATGAGTTATAAAATAAAATGATGGATAAAATTAAGTTTATAAAATAAAATGAGTTTATTCTAGAAATTCATGAAGTCATAAGTTTTGATTATTAAAACGTGATTTAGAATTATGATTTTTAGAACTCACCCAAAACTCCAAGTCTTAAGTATAAAATGAAATTTTATTAAGACTATTACCGGTTCTTAACCACTCTATGACTAAACTTTAGAATTTAGAATTTTAATATATAATTGATCGTTCTAATGGTAAATAAAATGAAATTTTATTTGGTACCTAAAGAACCTCATAACAAGTGATATGACTTTTACAAAAGGGTACATGAATTGTTGGATGGATGCCATATTCATGAGACCATGTTTTTATAACCATACTTGTAAAACATATATATATATATATATATATATATATATATATATATATATATATATATATATATATATAACATTTTCTTAAAAATGCAAGTCATTGCCTTCCTTTTGTAGAACACTCGGTATCATCTGTATGGTCTTAGTGGGTGATGGGTATCACACCCCAAAACCGGAACGACGGAAACGTTCGGGGGTGGAGGACGTCATGTTTAGTATCACAAGACATGCATCATACTAATCAAAGTAGTGAACAACCATTTCATTAGAAAGAAAGTGTTTACAATGTGTGTGTTTACAAAACATGGAATACATAAGCAAATAACAAAAAAAAAAAAAGACTTGAAGCTATTATGCTCCATCTTCTGAATTCCCAACACGAGTACCTATCTACTAGTCTCCTGATAATACAAGTTATTTTGAAAGAGTTGATCAACAATTAAGATGGTGAGTTCATAAGATGTTAGTGATGTAAGTATGTTGTAAAAAGTGGTAGTAAGTTCGTAAGTTCTGTTTAGAAAATTTTGTCCGTTCCTCCAGAAAATCCTATATTTCCTACTTTGATGAAAGATAAGTAAAAATGACTCTACAATCCTTTCTATGAGTACTAAATGGATACAAGTTATATAAAACTCAGAGTAAACAAACAATTGATTGTGTGTATCTGCCCTAAGCCCACAACCAAACAAGGAACAGGAAGTAAGACAGAAAGCACACATCCGATTGTTTGTTAGATCATTATTGTATATAACCCTGGCGTATTCACTTGTTACTCATGGAGTTAACTGTGATAGTTCCTTTATATTTGCAGAAAAGATTCATTAAGAAAACCCTTATTTCTTATAATAAAATAGTACCCACAGTGGTTCCTTCTATAATCACTTAGTTTATACTAGCTATATATAATCTAATATCGAGTAGATAGTTAACTGTGTGAATCTGCCCTAAGCCCACAACCAAACAAAGAACAGGAAATGAGGCGGAAGGCACACACCCAACTACCTATCGGGTATTAGTTATATATAACCATGATGTATAAACTAAGGTATTATAGAGTTAACCACCTAAGGTCCTTTAAGTTTATACTGGTTTAATAAAATGGATTAAACCCTTTACTGTTATGTTTCTAGTTTTGTATACCAAAAGTTCTGACTTGAAAAGTATATTTTGTACTAGAAAACTGTGCATTGAATTAGTGTCCTATGACTTGACCCATACCTGGTACCCCTTATGATGACTTAATGTATACAAAACATATATATCACTAAGATCGAATGGATAATAGGCTGGGTGAATCCGCTCTAAGCCCACAACCAAACAAGGAATAAGAAATGAAGAGGAAAGAACACATCCTATTACCTATCGGATCCTATTAGTATATATCCCTTGATGTATACATTAAGGAATCATAATGTTAGCATTATGGTCCCTTTCTACTGAATGTACTAGATCCGACTGTTCTGCTTGTCATTTGTAAAATGGAAGTTTTCCCTGGTTTATAACTATCTTTACTCGAAAGTAGTTTGCATTAACTTTCAAGTGGAACTGTCACAATATGAAAGAAATGGGAAAATGTAAGTACACAGTTGTCTTTTATGACAACCTGATGTACTGATTACCTTAAAACATGTATGTTTTATTTAGGTCATAATGTGAAGGCTAGTACCCATACTATACGCTCTCCTGTCAAGAGATTCTTGGAACCAAACGCGACTTCAGCAAACCAGTTGCTAGGCCGTGTAATCCACATTAAAGTTACGTGATCATGTATACCGAATTTAACTATCACCTTTTGTTTAGAACAATGAGTTAGTGATTCATTGGTATAATTAGATTCTGTAGCAGTTCCATGCTATAGCAACTTAATATGTTCGTTCTGTTATAGTATCTTAGTATGTTCTCTTTGTTTCTCATCATACTATGCTCTTCCTGTTATCGTGTATTGTATCTAGTATGAACTGAACCTCTAAACTATACCCCTTATAGTTTACTAGTGTTTTACTTGAACTGTTATTGAAAAGACTCTTTTTACTACTAAGTTATGCTTGTACTTTAAAAATGGATTTTTGTTAAACTAAAAAGCAACATCACTTTAAAAGAGTTTTTGAAATGTTTTGATCACTTATACAAGACATAAGAAATCATTTGAAAGATGTTTATAACAAACATTTACACAATTATCATCGTGTTCAACTTGTATCCCCCATCCCCTTAAAAGCATTTAAAACAGTTAAATGATTCATTACGGGGTATGAACTCACCTGATTTGGGTGATTCAAACGAATACGCGTGTCCAGATGAGAAGCTCCACAAATGAAGTCCCGAGACTTAACGAGTCGTAAATGACATATAATGGAATATATTGG